CAGAAGCACTGCGACTGGATGGGAGTACGCANAAGAACAGTCCGCCTAACCTCTAGTTGCATCAGAAGCACTGCGACTGGATATATATAAGCCTATAAGCACTCGCGTATGATGACCGTCTTAAGTAGTTTGCCGATATTTCTGGTTTTTGATGATAACTCATCTGTTATCTAGTATTCTGCCTTATCCTGAGTTTTGCATAAAAAAATTCACCCGAAAATTTGTCATCCGCCCATAGTAAATACATGGAAACCAGAAGTGAAAAGTGAACCGGTTCGGGGAAAATGAAACTCATGATAAGGCTGACTATATTTTTATGATGATTGTTCATGATTCATTCCGCCATGATGATAGCTCCATGATAAAAACATAGCAAGGTATAACCGTTCCCTCAATTTGTCGGCCATGACTTTTTTTTTTGAAGTTTGCCAACATTTTAAAATCATATAAAAGTGAAAATAAAAAATTGAAATTGTTCGAAATTGTTGTTGCTTGAGATTGAAAATGAAAATGTGTGTGTGAGTTTGTGAGTAAATTTAAAAATTAAATTGTTTGGAAACGTCAAGAATCTTAATCTTAAAAGTGACTCTCAGCGGTTCTACCTTACTATATTTTTTCATGGATAGATCTATACAATTCAAGGCATATCAAACAGGTAGTAGTGTTAGAGCAAAAACCACATTTTCGTGTATTTTCTTGTTGCTTCTGGTATCGAAAGTGTCAAAAACTCTTCTGATTTTTTTCTTATAAATCAAAGCGTGCCATGTGAGATACAATAAATAAAAAAATTTTATTGGAAAAAAATTAAAATTGTTGCAACATTCTTTCATAGTAAATTTGTTCGCTTCTCGAAGCATTGATCCATCCTTTGCAAGGCCCAGTAATGAGCGGTTGTGCTGCTGAGTTGGCGAACGTTCCAAAAGCTGCTATTCAATCGCTTGTTTTGTATGGAAAGAGGTTTCTCGTGCTAATAGATTTTAACAATTTAGAATTTTTGTGAAAATAAATTGAAAATATTTGACATTTTCGAGATCAAATAATTTGAAAAAAAATCTAATCAGCTGCTCTGATTATACTACCTGTTCAATGTGCCTTGATACAATTTTTAGTTCTTTCATCTGCCAATCAAGGTGTGTTACAGGCTAACCTAATATTCACGCACGCCGCCAATTTACTGTCAAAAATTTCTCAGGCACATACAACTTGTATGGGACCAACCGAAATTGAACGGCGTGCGTATGAAGCTAACTCAATTTCCAATTTTTGTTCTGCGTGACATTTTGATTTGACGTTTCGCTCAATGAAATCAAATGCAAACGCACGCAAGCCAATTTCGGGTGACGCAAAATAACAAATTCGACGGCGTGCGTACCAAAACGCAAGCCGCGAATATTAGGTTAGCCTGTTAAACAAGGTGTGATTGACAACTTAGGTAGGCTCTCTTTTAAGGTACTATTATGCCAAAAAATATAAACAAGCGATTCAAAATTCATAAAAATTTTTTTCAATTTGACTATAGGATGGTTCATGATACAAAAAAGAAGGTAGTTTCAATAAACAACTTTTTGATTAAAAATCAGATTTTTGACAATTGCTAAATTGTGAAAAATTCGTAGCGGCGTTACCCAATGGTAAGTTTTTTGGTGTGGGAGATTTTATATCCTAAATTTGAGTTTATAAAGAAAAGAGTTGTATTAATATATATCTTTTAAAAATAATCAATCTCTTATCTTAAAAACGTTTAAATTTTACAATAAACTCGATAAAAAATTGCCAAATCTGAACATATGTAAACATATTTTAAAATTTTTGTATTGTCCTCATGTCATCGCATTATTTCACAATGTAGTTTTATATATCGGATACGATGATTCTGATGTAATTCAGACACTGAAACTACACATGTCGGGCAACAGCAAATGGAATTTACTTTAGGACCCATGGGCCGTAAATTTTTTCCAGCAACACATATTCTTTTCACATTAAATTTTGCAACACCCAAATGAAGTATGAAATAAATAGATAAAAATAAATTTTTAATGAAACTGATTTGTGTAATCCAGGGGCGTCTTTAGTAAATGTTTAGAGGCTGTTTTAATATATCCTATCTTATTATATATTTTTTAGCTTTACTACATTCTAAGAAGTTGAGAGAATGAAGTCTAATATTCTTTTTTGGTCAACTATGATGTTTGATTTCATTTTTTGCAATCATTAGTTCATTTCGTTTGAGGAGTCACAATGCCCATACCGGCTGTACCGATTTTTTTGAAATTTCGGACACAAATTTTCCAAGAATGGTTATAGGCTAAAACAAAACCGATATCTAAAGGGCGTGTGGAACCTCCCACACAAATCGAATTCTTCATAGTGCATATCTCTGGAAGTATTTGTGATAGAGTCCTGGAACTTTTTAAGGATATATGTATGGATATATGTATGGATTTATTGGAAAATGCGGCGGCCACCGTAGAACTTGGAATAAGGTAACTGAAATCAATCCCAAACCTATGAAAAACGGGGGTATATGAAAACAATCTCGTAGCCATTGAAAAGAGCTAGCGGTATAAACCAAATATGTAAACTAAAATTCTTGTGACGATAGATACCTCTGGAAACATTTACCTAGAATACTGAGATGAGGTATTTTTCCAACGGAAATATGTACAGAAAAACGGGCGCGACACCCTCTGGAAAGTAACAGATCACAGGATGTATCCCGAGAACCATTTTAAGCCAAACCTTCAGGGATTACATTCTTGCCAAGACCCATAGGCATAAGCTGAAATTTCGTCGCAAGTTTTATCATCGGCTTAGGTAAGGTTTAACCACTTAACCCCCTTTGTTTTCGTCGCTAGTGAATTCTATAAACTATCAATTTTCACACAATTTAAAATGTACATGTAAGAACAAAATATTTTTAAATCGACTAAAAATTAATAAGAAAATTTGAAGGATTTTAGATATTGGGTATGGTAGCACGAAATGTCACAATCTGCTTAATTGTCAGGTTGTTAATATGGCGACGAAAAAGTGACAATGGAACTACCTTGTTTTTTGTATCATGTTATTAATGTTTTGTCGATTTAAAAATATTTTGTTCTTAAGCATAGCATAATAAGAAATAAACAAGAAATGAGTGTGAAATTCCACAACATTTCCTTGAAACATTTTGCAACATGAAGCTAGCAACACAATTTTCATGACATTTTTAAATACACATGTATATTTTAAATTGTGTGAAAGCTGACAGTTTATAGAATTCAGTAGCGACGAAAACAAAGGGGGGTTAAGTGGTTAAACCTTACCCAAGCCGATCATAAAACTTGCGACGCAATTTCGGCTTATGCCTGTGGGTCTTGGCAAGAATATAATCCCTGAAGGTTTAGCTTAAAATGGTTTTCGGGATACACCCTGTGATCATGTTACTTTCCAGAAGGTGTGGCGCCCGTTTTTCTGTACATATTTTCGTTGGAAAAATACCTTATCTCTGTATTCTAGGTAAATGCTTCCAGAGGTTTTTATGCGTCACCAGAATTTTAGTTTATTTGGCTTATACCGCTAGCTCTTTTGAACGGCTACGAGATTGTTTTCATATACCCCCATTTTTCATAGGTTTGGGATTGATTTCATTTACCTCTATTCCTAGTTCTACGGTGGCACGCCGCATTTTCCAATAAACTCATATTTTTCCATGAGCTTAAGATTGACTTCATATACATATATCCATACAAAGTTCCAGGACTCTACCACAAATACTTCCAGAGATATGCACTATGAAAAATTAGACTTCTATGGGAGGTTCTACACGCACTTTAGATATCGGCTTTGCTTTAGCCTATAACCATTATTGGAAAACTTGTGTCCGAAATTTCAAAAAAAGCCGGTATGGGCATTGTGACTCCTCAAGCGAAATGAACTAATGATTGCAAAAAATGAAATCAAACATCGTAGTTGACCAAAAAAGAATATTAGACTTCATTTACTCAACTTCTCAGAATGTAGAAAAGCTAAGAAATATATAATAAGATAGGATATGTTAAAACAGCCTCCAAAAAATTTACTAAAGACGACCCTGGACTACACAAATCAGTTTTATTGAAAATTTGTTTTTATCTATTTACTTTATCCTTCAATTTTGGGTGTGTCAAAATTGTATGTGAAAACAATGGCTGCGTTTCTTTATACATTCCGGATAATCCCATTTCACAGCCAGAATAAACATAATGCTTTTGAAATATACGTTAACATATCATCAGGAACGTTCTAAAGAATAAGTAAACAAAAAAGTTTATTCCAAACGTTCAGAATGAATAAATAATTTTTGCTAGAAAAATTTTACGGCCCATGAGTTCCAAAGTAAATTCCATTGCTGTTAAATGGACAAAGACAATATGTATTAAATAACACATCGAAATGTGTAATTTCAGTAATTTGTGTAAATGTGTAATTTCAGAATTACATCAGAATCACGTATCCGATATAGAAAACTACATTGTGAATTAATGAGATGACATAAGGACACTAACATAATTTTAAAATATTTTCACTAAAATTGTATTAATATTAAAATAATGATTTGGCAAGTTGTTATCGAATTTAGTGTAAAATTTAAACGTTTTCAAAATAAGATATTGATTAGTTTTAAAAGGTATATATTAATACAATTATTTACTTTATAATCCCAAATTTAGAATATAAAATGTCCCACACCAAAAAACTTACAATTGGGTAATGCCGCTTCGAATTTTTCACAATTGAGCAATTGTCAAAAATCTGCTTTTTAATCAAAAAGTTGTTTATTGAAACTACCTTCTTTTTTGTATCATGCTACCTTGTTTTTTGTATCATGGGATGGTTCTTCTATGGCTCTTCTGAGAGCAATATCAAATTCAATCACACTTTGTTGATTACATTTTGCTGCCAATTGTCGAATATATTTTCTTTAATTTATTTTTTTTTTTATAAATCCTCACATTTGTTCAACTTTTTCGTTGACTTCCTTGCAAGAGTTGCACCAATGTATCAAACTCAATATATTTATTCGCGTGAGCGTCGTCGCTTTGGCCGTCAGCCCTTACTGAGCGATCGCACGCAGCTTATGCTCAGCATACAGCCTAGTCACCGAATTCGCTCAACGTACATCCTACGCAATCCGATGGATCGCACCACGCAGCTAAGCGAACAAATGGCCTTTAGCTGGGTAGAGACTGAGAATGTCACTTACGGTGAGCATGGCATGTACCACTATGAAGGTGGCTGGCCGCGCGAAGTCAACATAAACGATGAAGAGTCGACAATGCGTTACCGCAAGAAGATTGAACGCGACGACAACTGGGGTATGCAAGTTACCAATCTAATACACACATCAATAGATGTGACTGCCCAAAATAGTGCTGTAAATATCTATCAGGAGTTCTTCGTCGATCTGCCGCCTGAATTGGGCAAAGATATACGCACGCCGTTCGAGGCACGCCAGTGTAATATATTTCATGATCCACAGAACCCCGTACGACCCATTACCGTAATAGACTGGATGCCGAACGAGAAAAAAAGGTTTCTTTCGCAACCCACTAACTTTAACTTTACTGCACCGGTACGTCCGCCGCCATTAGGCGTGAAGACCGAAGAAGATGACCTACACTCAACGCCATCTGTTCCATCCGGCATACTACAAGTTACCGAATCCTCACGATCTGTCTTGATAAATCCGAACTTTTTCTATGTTTGGAATATGGCTAATGCTTTGCAGCCTGAGATAGTGCTCGATTCCACAGAACCAGTGCATCGTGCTCATTTCTGTCCGCGTGACGAAAATTTCATTGCTGCCGGTCTGCATTCGGGCATGGTGGGTCTTTGGGATGCTCGGAATGGCGGTAAAGCTATAAAAATATCTCCTTTAGAAGCAGCACATCGCGAGGAAGCAGCAGCGCTGTGTTGGGTGCACTCCAAATCGAATTCAGAATTTTATAGCGGCTCCTACGATGGTTCGGTAAAATACTGGGATATACGCGATCTCAACACGCCATTACAAGAAATCTGGATCGATCCGGAGCTAACCGATGAGCAGAAACGCGAGCGTGCACATGGTGTAACGGTTTTAGAATTCGAATATACTATTCCTGTGCGCTACATCATTGCCAGCGATCAGGGTTACGTGTTTATAGGAAATCGCAAAGGTATGGTGCCAACTGAGGTGCTAATCGCCAACTATCGACTCTTCTCGGGGCCGGTGCGCACTATTGAGCGCAATCCATTCTTCGTAAAAAATTTTCTTATTGCCGCCGATTGGTGTGTAAAAATCTGGGCGGAGGAATGTAAAGGTGCACCCACAACGCTGCTAATGAAAAAGAAGAACGAAATGTTGTGTGGAACTTGGAGTCCATCGCGCTGCTCGCTCTTTGTCACCGGAGACGCTAAAGGGGAAGTTGACTTTTGGGACTTATTATTGCATCAACGAAAACCCATATTTACGCTGAAGTTAAAGCGGCCCGTAAAGTACGTGAAATTTCGACCAGATGGGAAATATTTGGCGGTGGGCTTGGAAAATGGCGATGTACAACTATTCGAAATGGATCCTGCTTTGAGACAGAGTGCGGCTAAGGATAAAGCTCTTTTGATGGCGGTAAGTCATAAAGTGAACTGCAAAATTAGGTGAGAAAACATTGTAAGGGGTGAGTTGGAACTCCGAACAGCAAAATTTAAAATCCAGCCAACTGTTGTATGAAATAGCTTTTAAACTCTGGAAGAGCTATTACGGGTTCTAGCTACGAAGGCGAAACGCCCATAGCAGCTCTGAGGGGTCATCTAGCGAGTTATAATAATTAAGAGGTGTACGGGAGTCCAAAATTTTTTCGGTCGCCTAACGACCACATTGACTTTGTTCTAAACACCAAATAGCTTAGCTAATCTTTAATGTCTTAACACTTCCTATACATAGATTTATATCTTAAATAGAACTGAGCAATTCCTAGAACAACCATGGGCAGAGATAATTTTACTCTTCATGCGTCTGCATGAAATGTATAGAAAGCTTAAAAGAGATTTGCCCATAGGCAAGGCTGTTCCCATCTCCGTCGTAGACCAATGACGATCAGAGAGAGAGCTTTTACGAGTACTTTCTGCGCCTTCATATAAAATGTATATAAAGCTCAAAAAATTTGATGATTTGGTCGTGACTGTACTAGACAAAAAACGTCCGCGGCAAATGCTTTATAGACATTTTGTATGGATCTGATCTGACTTTATATACGTAACGGGCAGCATTACCTTTTCCGCGTGCAGGTTTTTAAGCTTTCTGTAAATTCTTTACTGCAGTGCGCAAATAAAAGCTCTCTCTGCTCATTGAGGTTTGATAACAACGCGCAAAGAGGTTAAGAGGTTTTTCTCTTCGCTGGTACCAATCATAACGATTTATTCAAAGCTCGACTAAATGATATTCCATTTTTAGCTTTTCGAGCGCGAGCTACAACATTGCAAGCTGCTGGACGGTCGCGTTGAAGAAATTAAGCTTAAACATAAAACAGAGCTATATGAAACTGAACAAGCCAAACTGCGCGAAAATGAATTGGACTTGGTAGTGCAATACGATCCTGATGATCCGGATCAATTTTTACAGATAATAGAAAATGATACCGAGTTTAAGGACATGTTGAAAATTTTCAAAGACAGCACATTCAATATTGATAAGAAGCGGCAGGAGCGTCAATTCATAATGGAACGCACTGATTTTGAAAAGGATGGTATGTTGACGAAAGAAGATTTAGAGGGACTAACTGCAGGAGAAATAGCCGCAGTTAAAGCTGAGGGACTTGTCAATAGCTCCGCTGCAGGTGCAGCTGGTGCGGCCGATGGCGCTGCTGGTATAGCAGGTGCTGGTGATAAAGCTGGTGCTGGAGCACCCGGAGGAGCAGGTGCTGCCGTTGCAGACGACAAAGAAGCAGCTGTTGGTGATAAACGCATAAAAGTCTTGAGGCGTATGGCAGATGCAGATAACTAAGATATTTGTTTTTATTTTCAACTCCTTAAAAATACTGCTCTTGTATGTTTATACAAAAAGGGCTCATGAGAAGGCGCGTAAATACATTTGTTTATTTCATTGAAAATACGCACAGCTTTGCTGCTAATTCTGGTATTTCTACAGCTCTCATTTCCACCACGAGCACACTCATTTGTCGTCGCATAGCGCTCGCTTTACGCACAGCCAACTTCACCTCAAAGTGATTCATCAGGTATTTCCATTTATATTCTTCCTTCTGCTGTTCACTTAAAGCTTGATACTGCGATGGCGTTAGAGCGAGCACACGTTCAGCCACAGCGCCAGACAGGCGTGATTCCAACAAAGTGCCAGTATGATCGCTAAACTGGACGTTAATGGTGAAAAAATGTTCGAATTTTTCACCTTCATAGTTAATCGAAAAAGCCAATTGGCATTGCTCCATATCGCATATGATTTGATTACGCCTAAGTAGGGCATTACAGGATTTGCTGTATGAAAGATAAGCGTTGAAGGTCAATTTGAGCCTATTTTCGTATTATGCTTACCATTTGCGGCTTAGCACTTGACCAGAGCCATCAAAATCGAAATGAGTTAGCATTGCATAAAGAACGGCGGTGAATTGTTCTGAATTATAGATGGGCGCGTGAGTAATTTTGACTCACGTTCATGCACGCTCACGTTGATGGTTTTGTAAATAAATTTTCCAATCACGTACGCTCACGCACGGTTTCTTACGGTAATTTTTTTTAAATTGAAACTTTATTTATATAAATGGCGTTTCGTATAAATAGGCTTTTATCACACGAGTATTATTGCAAAAGCTTGGCCAAATGCTTAGCAAGGACTGAGGCACAATTATTATTTTAACAAATTTCAGATATACTTATGTATCTAATACGAGTATAAAACCTAATTGGTATTAATATTCATTCTTCCACACAACTTTTGTTTTCCGATTNGTATCTAATACGAGTATAAAACATAATTGGTATCAATATTCATTCTTCCACACAACTTATGTTTTCCGATTTTTTTTCAAATAAATCTGTATTTCCGTATTAATTTTTTCAAAAACTGTTTCTGCAGATTAATTTATTGCATCTTTAAGTTTGTCAAAAGTTGCACGTGATTTAGTCCTTTTCGAGGTAGAAGGAATGTCATCATGCAGAATTTGAAAATCGTGCTGAGGGCGAGCGCTCTTTTTTTTAAGTACATTTCTACCTAAGTTATCTTCAAGCATTGCCTTTACTGTCCCTATTATATGTTCGCGCGGAGGATTTAGAAACAATCTCAGAAATTGGACTGAACTTGGTTGGAATCTTTTATTTAAAGCTGCGTTTATCTTCAAATCGATAATGACTTCAGAATCAGAAGCATTCGCCTAACAATGCTTTTGTAGTTTTTTGTACCACAGAACGTGCTCATGGATCGTTGGATTTAAATCCGCGCTCAAATTTTCAGAACACATCTTGAAAGGGGCCATAAATTCTAACAATTTTTCCAAATAAATTTGAATTTACTCTTGATAGTTTACGAAGTTCATTTATTTCTATTAATAATTGTTGAACTGCTGGCCGCAATTTGAAGTGTATATCCATTCATACTCTTCCACAAGAAATTCATTTTTATATGGAAAAAAGTGCAAAAGCAGTCATTAAAAAAAAAAATATTAAAAACCAATGCGATTTTATAGCCGCTCAAATCTTCCACTCATTTTACTGGAATTTTATAAGCTTGTTGCATATCCAAAAAAATTTTTTTAAATTCTGGTTAAGACACTCGAAATTTAGATACACAATTTTGGAATTTTTCTAAGTTCTAATATTAAGTTTGAAAGTGTGATTTTTGGAGTTTTTGTTAAAGCATGAACCATATTTTTACGAAAAAATATCCAAAAAATTATAGCTTGAAAAACATTGTAAATATTAAAAACTGAACACGCTTCATCCATTTTTGACCGCCACTGTACATAGATATGTGAAAATTACGTGATTGACGAAAATCTAACTCACGCACATTCACGCACGCAAAAATTTCAGTCACGCACGATCACGGATATTACGTGATTTTTCACTGAAAGCCGCTCACGCTCACGCGTGAAAAAGCGTAACACAACGTATAACGTAGAAAATCACGTCTTTTGCCCATCTCTATTCTGAATCATCTTTGAGATGACCCTCGGCGCGGGCGTACAGCTGCTTTACGGTCATTTGAGTTGCGTGCGTCCGGTAAAAGATAATGTGGTACTTTTGTAAAATTCGGAATATCCCAACTTGACCTCGATTAAATGCACGACTGTGCGCATCGCTTCCCAATAATGTTGCGCCCGTTGTATCCAGTCAGGCTGCCAAATGATCATCACAACAGCATCAGCATGGCTACTATCGATAACAATTAGCTCAAGACAATTTAGAATTGCACCGTTGCGTTTACTTCACACTTCTTTGACCGGACACTGAGCAGCCACTAAAACCAACAAGTCAATAAATTGCTCTTTTGCATTATTTTCCATTATGCTGCAGCGCACATCGTGCAAATTGAGAGCACTGCAGAGTGGCTTACTGCCGTCCTTAAATTGGAGCGCTAAGCGTTGCGTTATCCATTGTCGACGAGTGTCAGCGCGCGCTATCCCCAAATCAACGCGTCGTAATTTTTGACGTTTTCTCAGATCCTCTCGTTTTTATTCTCGTTTCCTCTTTCACTTTTTTGTCCTTTCTCTTTCTTTCCGTCTTCCGCATCCAACTTCAACACGTAACGCCCTGTCAAAAATGAAAATTCCATTTGCTCGGCGTTAGCGCCGCGTTATTGTGGGATGCTTCATACAAATTGTATGGGCATGAGGATTTTTGACAGTTGTTTGGCGCTTGACGCGCCAATTTAGGGATGGCAGTTATGTGGCACGCGTCGGAAATTATGCAACTCGCAAAAGGCATCCACATCGCGATAGTTGTGTTTGTTTAAGCGTCCTTGTCCATCATTGACCTGCAATGTAAAGGAAAAAACGCTGCGATATTCATTTGAATCGCGCGCAACGAAAGTGTTGGGCGTTGTCTTCGTGAGTACAATAGCAGTAATTAATGCATTTTTAATATCTGTGTTGAGTTCACAAATTTTTTTCGCTAAAACGACTGCCATTTTAATATTAATTTGCATTAACAAAATACTTGTTGGTTAATCTCGAAAAATAGCGGACACGGAAGAATCTCTTTTGACAATTAGCCGTTAGCGCAGTGCTGCCAAGTAATTTAGTGAAATATGGTTGACAACGCGGTTGTGTGTGCCACGTTGCCATGCAGATATAGTTGACACTTTAGTATCGATTTAACAGTTGCATTCCTACAGTGGTATTCAGCAGTCGTTAAATTTTATTTTGTTTTTAATTTTTTACTGTTGCGAAACTACACAAATTGCCAAAATGGAGTTTACTTTTAAGAAAGAACGCCGCACGTTTGGAGCTCATGCACAATTTAGCGACAACGATGTAGTTATCTTCTCGGAGAACTCTTCACAGGAGCTTGCCAAGAACTATATACTTAAGAATCCAGTGGATCGCTATACACAATTCACCCGACAAATGGCGCTGAGTGAGGCAAACACCGAGCGTGCTACATACAAACATGTAGGCATCACGCACAATGAAGGTGGTTGGCCCAAGGATATTACTCTGTCCGATCCAGAGCAAACGGTCCGTTATAAACGTAAAATTGAAAAGGATGAAAATTATATAACGCAAGTAATGAATCTCACCAAACCAATGGAACATTATATACACCAAAATAATGCGGTGAATATTTACGAAAATTATTTCGAGGATTTAGATCCTGCACCTCTACCGGAACCATGCCGCTCACGTACTGTCAATGTTTATCGTGATCCCAATCCTCTTAAGGTGCCTGTCACACACCTCTCATGGTCGCCGGATGGTGGCATCAAAATGGCTGTTAGTCATTGCGATATGAAATTTCAAGGTGATAAATCAGGTCAGCGTTGTAACTCATATATTTGGGAAATCGAAAATCCCAATGAGCCTTTTCTCACGCTGGAACCAAAAGTACCGTGTGTATGCCTTGAATATAATCAAAAAGATCCTACAAGTTTGGTTAGTGGTATGTACAATGGCCAGGTAGCTGCTTGGGATACAAGACACGGAAAATACCCGGTAATGATAAGTGAACGTGAAATATGTCATCGTGACCCCGTTAACTCGGTGTTATGGAACAACTCGAAAAGTGGCACAGAATTCTTCTCTGGCGGTTCGGATGGGCAAGTCTTATGGTGGGATACACGAAAATTAAGTGAACCGCTAGATAAGCTGTTAATGGATCCAGTGCGTACGGACGAACAAGATTTGGGACGTTCATTTGGGGTTTCTGTATTGGAGTATGAAACAACGATACCAACGCGTTTTATGGCTGGCACCGAAATGGGTATGCTGTTCTCGTGCAATCGCAAAGGCAAAACGCCAATGGAGAAGATACAGATAAGGGTATGACATGGATGTGTAAGATGAATACATTTCGCTTGAATTGCGCTCTTTTCAGATGATGTGTCACCTGGGTCCAGTGTATGCTATAACACGCAATCCTGCCTTTGTAAAGAATTTCCTAACCGTAGGTGATTGGTGTGCGCGCATTTGGTCTGAGGACTGCCGCGAAAGCTCCATAATTTGGACTAAAAATAGTGATGCTATGCTGACGGATGGCGCTTGGAGTTATACGAAGTATACATAGAACGAAATGGAATTGTAATGATAATCGATAATAATCTACATACTTATATATGATTTTGTTAGGGTATCCCAGTTTTTTATAACACGCATGGATGGCGTATTGGATACATGGGATCTTTTGCAGCAACAAAATCAACCAGTGCTAACGGTTAAAGTATGCGATGAGCCACTCCATTGTGTGCGTACAAATGAAAATGGAAAATTCGTCAGTTGCGGCAGTAAGTTGGGTGCCACTTTTCTCATAGAGGTATCGGATAATATGGTAATGTCGGCAAAGAATGATAAGCCATTGTTGACGGCGGTAAGTGGAGTAAAAGAAGAGAGGCTTTTAAATTTGAGAAAGGGAGAAATTAATGAAATCAAAAGCAACTGAAATTATTTGTTTTTAAACTTTCACAAATTTCCATAAGTTATAGAATCTATTGATAAATCTTTACACGATTATTATTTATCGATAAATTTCCATTGATTTTAGATTTTGAGCTAATGGTTTTGAACTAGTTTTATCTTCTATAGATGTTCGAGCGTGAAAATCGCCGAGAAAAAATTTTAGAAGCCAAATCGCGTGAAATTAAATTGAAAGTTAAGACTAATCAAGGCCAAGATCAAGGTGATCTCACAATGCTCAATGGTCGCGTAAATGTTGCACCATTTAAGGATGCTTGTGAACAAGCGGTGTCCGAATATTTTGCAGCCGTGGAACAAGAACGTTTGAGTCGCATTCCGGGTAACAAGCGTAGGTGATCATTCAAGGGTTTTTTTTTTATTATTGGCATGATTGTGGAACAATGTTTTTATCAATTGCAGAGGATGCGGAGGAAGCTGAGGCATCTGAAATAGACAGTGCACGGCCTTGAAAAATTATTGCGTTTATGGACTTAAAGAAATGCGTACCGTTAGCAAAATTATCGATAAATTTTGTAAGTATAGTTGATGATTTAAAACAAATGTACGTTAAAAGAGAAAATAAAGTTGGTTAACTTTGATGATATTAAAAAAATGTTTTATGTTTAATATTGATAAGTCTTAATTTTTTAAATCCATCAGCAGACGTAAGGAAGTCATCAAAAGGCTCGTTAGGGATCGTGTTTTAGAGATTGAAAATTCAGGAAAATAATCGCGTTGATTTAATATATTACTTTATCTATAAGCCATTTTCTTTAACAGTAGTTCGAAAAAGTCCATTCTGGTGGGAGATGATGGGTTAAACTGTGGGAAAAAAACTGACCAACGTTATTTTCAAAGTGCTGGCCAATCTAAAGCCCGGCAAAAATCGTAAGAGCACCAAGTAGGAAGTAAAAATATTTAAATTCGAAACTACTTCAAGAACGAACTAAATATAATTATATTCTTAATTGGCATGACAAATGCCTAATGCTGCCGAGATGGCATGGCTCTGTGGAATCTGTCTTGTGTTCAGTTGCGCCAGGGTTTCCAGTCGCGCCGGCGTCGCCGTTTCTTTTTAAAGTTGAAAACGCCGCCGCCACAAAGCCTGTCGACGTAAACCTCGGCAAATTATCTGAGTGGTCGACATTCGTCGGTAATGTTTAGAGAAAAAACGAGTAAGCAGCGAAAAATAAAACAGGGGGTTCCTCAGGGTGGTGTCCTTTCCCCGCTACTGTTTAACTTTTACATTTCAAAGCTCCCTCAACCACCAGAGGGAGTCTCGATTGTCTCTTATGCCGACGATTGCTCGATCATGGCGACTGGGAATGGAATTGATGACCTGTGTTCGAAAGTAAACGGGTATCTCTCCGAACTTTCTCGCTTCTTCACTGCAAAGTGTCTAGCCCTCTCCCCTACGAAATCCTCCGCGACCCTGTTCACAACCTGGACAAAGGAGGTCAGGCTACTGCTGGGGATTCACGTCGATGACACCCCAATTCCGACGGTGAATAACCCCAAAATACTCGGAGTAACATTCGACAGCCTGCTCTCCTTCTCTGCGCACTCAACCGCTATTGTCAATAAAGTACAGAGCCGCAACAAAGTCCTCAAGTCGCTAGCCGGCAGTACTTGGGGCAAAGACAAAGAAACGTTGCTGGCAACATACAAGGCAATAGGCCGGCCGGTTTTGAACTACGCAGCGCCAGTGTGGTCGCCAGGGACTAGTAGGACGCAGTGGACGAAGCTACAGACTACAGAACACCGCACTCAGGACAGCGACAGGATGTCTCTTGATGTCGCCTGAACACCACCTGCACGGCGAGGCGCAAATGCTCCCTGTAAAGGAGCATAATATAATGCTCTGCAAGCAGTTCCTGCAGAGGAGCCCTCGCCTAGGCACGTCAGGGGGCATCTATATGAACTGACGGACGAAGTACAGAGGTTCATTAAGCAACTTCTGGACCCGACAGCTTACAGACAGGCCCTGAACGGCATTCACAGGGACTCAGTCTCGAGTTATGTAGACTCTAGACCTGTGAATGCCGTTCTAGGCATACCACCCCCGGACATAGACGAGACAGAGCTTCATCTGCCTCGGGAGACACGCACTACACTCGCTCAACTTCGCTCCGGCTACTGCAGCAGGTTAAACTCCTACTTGAGTAGGCTGAATGAGGATGTGCCGAACGAATGTCCGGCATGCGGAGAGACCCCACATGACTCGAAACATCTCTTCGCATGCCCGGAAAACCCGACAACCCTAACGGCCTTGTCCCTGTGGACAAACCCCACAGAAGCTGCACGCTTCCTAGGGTTGCCGTTAGTGGAACTTGACGACAACGACTGAGATACCAACCGTCCTGGGCGGGGTTGTTGTGGCCGCTACAACAACAACAACAACGTAAACCTCTACTCAGGATAAGGCATAATGTATTTTTCGGTTCTCTTCTTGGACCAATGGAATTAATTTCCTCCACCAATAGCAAAATTATATGCATGTATTTTTGAACCTTTTTAATGAGGAAAAGCAGGAATATAATTAAAAATCCTCTATTTTTTAAGAATTTAAAAGTCAAGGCATTTTTCCCGACTATTTTTCGTGTATTTTCCAATCTACATAACATAAATACCGTTTCATTTATTTCGCGTTTCCCCAGATAAGATTTTGTCATAAAAATTAATTTTACGCACCGTGCGAGATAGCCAGCCTTAAGTTTCAAACAGAGTGGAAGTACAGCTGAAGATGAAGACGAAGCTGGACGCGAATTGCTTGCAATCGATAACATGCACAACATCTTATGATCATACATATTAGGTGCAATCCCGTATTCCTCGGATTTGGACTAGTAAAACTGTCAAAAAATAAAAATTCGCTCAGAGCGAGAGAGTAACATTGAAAAGTACGGGATCGCTTTCTAGTAAAAAATGGTAACTTCTGTCAACTTCAACATAACCTCCAAATTTTGGTTGTAAATTTTTGCTTATTTTGTATGTAAACACACTCAGCTCACACATGTAAATAACCAAAAATACTTTCAAATTCATTAGAATCCACTTAAACAAGTAATTAAATACTTTTCAACATGAATTAGCAGAGTGCACTTTTCTTTTGTTTACAATTTGGTTGCCAAACACACTACGGCTGATCGTTTGACACATTTACCAAAATTTACCAGCAAAAAATTCTCAGACTAAAACTGGTAACTGCTGACAGTGAGAGAACCGTATTTACTCTCTTCTTTGTCCTCTCAATAGTCAGAGAACCGAGTACGGGATCGATTTCCAGTAAAATCTGACTGATTCTGACTATTTCTGACTAGTCCGGACTCGTACGGAATCGCAACTATTTCCTAAAGAGTTGTTGATCAATTATGCACGCCAGATGTGAATCAGGGTCGCTCCGTTTACGTAGACCCGTCTATCGTGTGAACGTCTTCATTTTCATCTTCGGTTTGGCTCCACTCTATGTTACCTAAGAGCGAAAATTTGTTAAGTCTATTTTTTTTCAAATTTACAGAAGATAGGACTCCGAATTCTACATCAAATATAAAATATTTTGTAAAAACGCAATGCATGTACATACTACATTAACCAATTAACGATTATTTAACGACAAACTAGAGCTGTCCAACTATGGACAATATTATCGTTCACTTGAAATAACTATCGATAGTTTTAGTATTATCGCCACTATCGTTTCATTGATAGCGTACTCTCTTTCCTAGCGCTTTTGATATTTGCACGTATTGGTTCAAAGAGAACAAAAATTGGCAGCATTATTTCATGAGAGAACGAATAAAGATCACCCAGGACGGTGTGCGAGAAAAGCTTTTTTTTTGCAGTGACGTCATTTTTCCGCCGACATGTGAATGAAACCATGTGTGTGAATGAAACAACGGATTAAAAAATGACGTTATCAATTATTATTTGAGAAACTGCAGAAATCAGTTACATGAGCAATGGCACCTTGCATGTAAGGTGTCGCTCGAAAGAATTTTTTTCCGACGGCGAATTGCAGGGAAAATTTCTGAAATCGCTTTTTGACTGTTTACACGGCGATTGAATTTCTAGCAATTATTCTCGATACTAAAATACAACCGTGAGCCGCTAAAATAAACAAATTTATAAAAGCAAGATAACGAAGAATAAATGGATTCAGAAAAACATTTGAAATGGGTCGATACTATCGATAGTCACCCTTAAGACGATCGTTAAGCTCGTCGGCGATTTCAAGCATCCGTTGATGGTTACCCCAGCAACCGAGGCAATCGGAGATCGTCGTGTCACACGTACTTGTTGTCGGCTCGTGTTGATGGAAAATCAAAAATTTTTGATTTTCCATCAACGCGACCGCTTGACAAGCGGTCTGTTTGATAGTGGCGCAAAGCGTTGACAAGCATTAGTGTGTTAGTTTGTTGTGATATGTAAAATGAGCAAGTTCGCGGAAGATAAAGATTTTAAATTTAATTTTTAAATTTTATTGCAAACGGTGTTGACGCTTTATGCTTGAGTGTCGCCGGGCAAGCTTCAAGCACCCGACATTCAACCCGACACTCACACATGTACTCGTTGCTGGGGTAACCACCCTGCAGTAAGCCCGGGGCCAGCCAACGCTAAGCCACCATGTACGTCTACAGCGACAATTGCACTAGTGCAAATATCGACAACGGTTTCTTTTTGCAGAAGTACGAACTCGCCATAGACAATGACTGTAGCGTTTTTGTGTGTATATTGTCTACACTTTGTCAACAAGCACAACAGCTGTGCTTCGTCTTGCATTTTCTATTCCATCAGATATTTATTTAAGCGTGCACGTGCGGGCGAACAAATTTTTTACAACTTTGAGAGCAGCTTTCCAACGCCAAAAGAAAAAATTCTTCAAGCAAACAACCCGCATTAAAACCCAAAAAAATAAGGAGAACCGAAATGATGAAGAAAATGAGACTGAGAAATACGAGGAAATCGAATTTATTGAAGAAATTGATGAGACTTAATATATAAAAACTACAAATACTATTTTTTAGATTGTAAGAAAGGTTTAGCTAGCCTTGAAGAAATATGCCAAAAACCAAGTACCTTTTTTATTAAAAATAACTATCTACAAGACATTTTTATCAACAATATACATATCTGTGTTTCAATTAATTGTATTACCCAAAGGTATAAAAAAGTGTAGACAATAAACATTAAAAGGTAGTAGAGAATCTCTGGTGCCAATGTCTCCATATGGTCCCAAAGGGAGTACTTAGTCAATACCTCTGGAGAATTGCAATGACAAGCACATGTGAGATGTCTATAGCAAATAACATTGTGTGTCGCATATCTTGGAACTAGTACTGGTGACAAAGTCAATAGCGAATCGATAAAGTTTCACTGTCGACATTTACTGCAGGGCATCAACGGATGCTTGAAACCGCCGACGAGCTTAAAACATCGATGGACTTGACTATCGATAGTTTGACAGCTCTACGACAAACCACAACGCGGCGTTGCCAACTAGTTTC